CGCCCCGCCCCTCAAGGGCGGAATCAGGTCGTGCGACCACTCATCGGCATTTTCTAACGCCCCACTTCGTGCGGGCACGATCTAGTCCTAAGAATTATTTTTAGTGTTCCCATCCTGCCGCCTGTACTCCGGCCAAACTCGAACGTTCTAAGTCCACGGAAACTTCTCGCTCAGACATTTATTCGCACAGAAACTAAACTCTGGACGAACTCTAGTCCTACCACCTATCTTCAGTGTTCCCATTCCGCCGCCTGTTCAATTAGCATATTCGAATATTCTTTCCAGATTACCAGTTTTCGCGCAACCCGGCTCACTTCGGGCGTAGTCTCGTCCTGTCACCTATCATCAGTACTGCCGCGGTGTCATCTGTACTAATACGAAATTTGAACGCTTTAGGTCTCGGGGACAAGGAAATGAATTTCCGCTCAAATATTTGTTTCGCGCAAACCTGCCTCCAAGCATAGATGTTCCCATTTTGCCGCCCGTACTCCAACCGAATTTTGATGCTTTTGGTTCAGCGGGGCACGAGTTATGAATTTCCGATCAGTCGAACACGTACACATGCAAATACAAACACGATAACAGACGCATTTATTGGTTAGTGGATTATAAAGTAGGAAGTTCCACTGTTCTCATCGATTGCAACATCTTGCCTTGCTTATACAGGGATCTTAATCTAATGAGAAGCTTTGCCCATTTCAGATCGAGTCAACGGAGGAGCATGAGGTAGGAGACAGATATACAGGCGTGAAGGTAGGAAGGCCTTTGCAATGTTGCATACATCCAACAGTACGGAATTTGGAAAAAGTTGCATGTTTATAGGAGCATGTCAGTCTTAGCGATCCAATCCCAGTTCCTGTACCTGTAGCCGTCGTTGTCGCTCTACTTATACTTATTATACTATTGATAACTGCGGTTCTATGTGTGAAGAAGCCGGCGTGAGTTGTATCGAAGCATCTATTGCGTTGCAGAAGTGTTGGTGCATTTAGAATAATTTCCTTCATCCTGTCGTCCCATTGATCTTCGATTTCCGCGGGCCCCAGTAACGTCCATTTTTTTTCGAGCGCCCGGCCCAAATAATCTTCGATTCCTTGGCATAAGCCACGGCTTTCCAATTTTCGTTATTTGATGGAGTTCATAACTTCCGATTATCTTTTGCACTTGCTTTTATAAGGAAATCTGGAGCCCCGAACTCAAAAAGCGCATTGGATGAAGATGTCTGCATATTCGTCCTGCTTCCATATAGTTCAAGTCCCGGATGTGTCCTTCGAAGCAGGAAGGGCCCAGTGCCCTAAACGTGAGCGAGGAGGCAGCTCTTCTATGTCTTATTGTTGTGCTGTCGGACAGCAGAGAAGTGAGTGTTCACTGTGGTAAACTGTAGAGTGGATGACTGCACAAACAGGAGCCTCACTTACGGTCCAAAAAGGCCGGGAGAGATCAGTTCCATGCTGTGATCCAGGACTTCCACTTCCACCTTTAGTAAGAAGTGTCGTGTCTCCAGCTCCGACTTCGCGAGGGGAGATAAAGCGCATGATCGGAGCTAGGGACTCAAGGTTCATTCATTGCTAGCTCAGTGCTCTTGAATACTTTCACGCATTTTCTTTTCTCTCTCCGAAGTCGGATCGTTCATCTTGATTACTTCTGGACCGGTAAGAATAAACTAAGCGGATGATCGTGAGTTAGAGCACTCAGAAATATTCCTCCCGATTAGCGCTAATAGAGCATCAGGTACCATACCGTTCTTCACGATCATCTCCTTCGCTTGTTTATTGTTACCGATTTTTCTACAGGCACTGTCAACTGCAGACAGTAATCGTTCGGCCTGTTGTTCAGTGTCATAAGCGCGCTGTTGTTTGCATGATGGAGATGGGGTGAATAGTAATCACTGACAATCACTCGAGAGCAATGGAACGCAATTAAAACTCGCCACCGGCTGCCACTTGAATCAGTTTCCCGCGCGCGGATGTTCGAATTAGAAACCGTGTGACGGCCCGAGGCCAGCGCCGCTTGTGCCGCACTCAATTGTGTGGCGTGCGGCATGGCCAAACGGTACATAAAACAAGACTGTTGCTCCCCTCGACAAAGCCCTATACCACTCTACCGCTTGAGGAAGCACTGGAGGGAGTGGTTGTAGGGGAGCATATTGTTTTGAAATCCGATTAATCACTAATTCGGAGATGATCTAGGCATCTCCTAGCTGTTAGAGGTGAGATGGAGGACCTAGAAGCCCGCATTGCTGCAGTACTTCTGAAACATGTAGTTGTGTTACGTGAGTAATGCATAGAAATTTTATTCCAACAAAACTCGGTACTCGTATTTCGAGCAAAGGAGGAACTGGTGGACTGTATGGAACCGTTTTTTTTCTGTAAAATCATTACTATTTTTCATCCATTCATGTTTTTCATGCTAGTTGGCCGTTGAGACCGCAAGAAAATCGCCTAATCATGAACCACTTACAATTGAGAAAAACGTTCCTCGTACGACACCTATACATTTCTGCAGCCAGCCGTAATGAGCCCCAATAACAGTTCATGAAACATTGAACTGTTTGCGCGCGGGAAAGTAATTTGAATGGCAGCCGCTGGCGAGATTCAATTGCGTTCAGAACGATGAATTCCTTGTAGAATTGCGATATCTCGGACGGAACTACATATCTTGTCTGAGCTGCTAGGTAGCAGTTATTTGCAGGGAGATCCAAACGGAAGACATAGAAGACCTTCTCCATTGCCCCTCAAGATGCAGCAACACTGTTACGTCAGAACGATGAAATAAAGTCATAATAGTCTTACAATTGGCGAAGCTTTGGCAGCCTTGCCATTGCTCTCTCAGCGGTTTTGGCTAGATCTGCTGCACTTCGCTTTTCCATTTTTTCCCTTATCGTATTTTGGCACATCTTTGCAAGTTTGAAGTTGGTTTATGATTGCCTGTATCCCATGCGGTCCCACGCAGGTTATCACCTTGAGTGTTTTCAAAGACAGACGCCTCTTGGCAGGTTGTGGACATCGGCTTTCCTAGCAATGTGACGACGTTCGACGAGCTGGCTAAATTCTCTATGGATGGAGGAATCTTCCAATAGACCTGCGAATTAGGCGAAGTGGTCCCAGTTGATGACTGCCTTCGTTTAATGATTTTTGCAGCTCTCACTCCATGCATTGAAAAAAGGATCTAGCGCAGTAGGAGACGATTGTTCGATTCAGTGTAGAACTCCGAAACAACGGCGACTTCAATCAGGCGAATCGTCGGATAATGAAGATAAAGTCATTCATCTCATTACGGAACCATTCGACCCCGAACTCATTGCAAGCAAAAGGTTCTCCGAAACAGCAGTTAGGTGGGGTGCTCCGTCTTGATAACTCAAACGTTTTTCACCCTGCTAGTTCCTTTCCGCTCTCGGAATTGCGGCACCCGGTACGATGAACGGTGTCATCGGATCTGATGTCTGTCAGTTAATTGACTGGCATCGTACTTGAACTTCCTAACTTGCATCATCAGATATTTAGCGCACGCTTCCGATGCAAGTATTCAGGGGATAGAAGTGCCGATCGCCAGCTTAATCCTTCTCCTTTTGGGCAACCTGTTATGTCCCTATAATTTACCAGGGCCCTACTATATGATGCTGTAATGGGAGCTCCCTTAGGCTCAGAAGAAGAAGACATCCATTCATATTACTCTTTTTGGCATGTGGGAACTCACGAGTTGCTCGCCAGTTCTGACGCGGGGACTGGATGAACTTCGGGTAGCTAGGCAGGCCATCTCCGAGTGGACAGGGGGCTTGGATTTTGAAGCCCCCTGTCCACTCGGAGAGGTCTCGTGAAACACAACAGGTGACCCGTCTTAGATGTTTAACGAAGACCGTTGACCCCTCTATTTTGAACGGCGTATTTGAACCTTTTCCGCAGTGGGTGGGCTCCAAGCTGCCTGACCCCAAGCTTGCTGCTGCAAACAATTGAAAACCACACAGGTCAAGATCCTAGCTGATACCTCAAACTTTACATCTCCATAGCGATGCTTCCTATGGTCTCCTAAGGACGTTTTGAACTCGATTTTTTCATGCCATCAAAATGTTCTTTAATCCTGCATACTAGGAGTCTCCCGGTTTCGCCTGTGTAGTCCCCTCCACGGAGCTTCCATGTGATCAAGAAGATCATATCGGACGCTATGCAGTCACTCCCTCGCCCGTTGGAACAGATGACACAATGGGGTGGGTAATGCTGATACGGTCGTAGAAACGGTTTTCGTCCAGTATCTGCCTTAGATTTGTAGAAGGAACTTCACTTCAGGCAGAGACTGATACAGAATCGTCTTTACGACAGCATCTGTATTACTTGACTACATCTGTATTACTTCCCATTGTGTCATCTGTCCATCGGGGGACAGTGAATGCACGCCGTCCGGGAGGCTCTGACGAAGGCGACTGACGTTAAACGTTAGCTAAATTGAAAGTTGTAACATCCTGGCCGAGGCTTAAGAAAAGAACACCAACAATGACTCGATTACAACCCTCAGTGGGGCGGGAACATTTAGCCCTTTTCATTTCTTGGACTTAATTGAAATGGTGGATGAAGACGAGCTGCTTTCCCTTTATCTTTTATCCTTCACTAGACCTGCACTTTTAGCGGCTACAACAGTTTCTCGCTGTTGCTCATTCTATTGAAATTTCCTTGTTTGACGAACAATCAAGCAGATAAGTAAAGAAGGACGAGTCATTGCGAGTTCGCCTCATTTACGTTTTTTTGTGCAGTAAGAAAATCTAGTCAGTACTGAAAGCTGCTTTCATCTGTTCATAACACACACTATCAGAATGACAGATGTGGAGTGCCGCGCATCTCCTGCGATGAAAACAACATAACTTGACGCCTTATACAGGGATACCAAGCGACTTAATGGAGTTCACCTTCAGAAAGAGCGATGGGAACATTGGGTTGTCGAAGAAAAAGTCAACGCGTCCAGAGAGCGATGAAAGCTCTTCAAAGAGGAGAAGTCGTAGGTCTCATTCGAGAATGGACAAGAGTTCTAGAAGCCAATCAGATAGAAGTCGGAAGAAAAGTGATAAGTCGCATTCTGATAGTACAAAAGGCTCCAATCAGGAAAAACCATTAAAAGTGGGAAGCGCCGAGAAGATGCTTCCCTCACCGGCTGGTAGCACTCCGTTAATGAAAAAAGGGAATAGCAAGGTAACGCGCTTTGAAATTGTTTGTTAAGGAAAAACTGTGTTGTCGAGATGTGTGTTTTGCTATTGTTCGTTTTGTTTTATTTGAGTACGATATTGATCAATGTTCTAGAAAAGGGACAGCGAATTGAAACTACGCGATCTAGCTGAGGTGAGTTATGAGCAGTAGGAATTGTGAGCTGACCCAAAATTGACTTGTCATCGTATCACAATTCAGGTAATCAAGCAGCCGCTGACTTCTAGAGAATTCGAAGTTTACTTGAATCGTCTTGCCCACTTCGCTATCGAGTACTACAACGATCCCACTGTTTACGACGTAACACCAAGTACGTAGGACATCTGGTTCCAATAAGTGCTGTTATCTTGTATTACTTCCTGCCGTGCACACAATTAAACCTCACCTGTGCTCCTATTGGACCCTTATTCACACATGAGCAGATGTATGCCACGGAAGTTTCTAAAGTTTCGAAAGCAGAGGGGACGGCACATCCAAGCAGTGATATCGCGTATCGCGGTCAAAAGCAAGGAATGCAATGCGTTTGTGTGCATTTGAGAGCAGAACGGAAAAGTCGGGTTGTTATGGATTTGCGCGAGACGTGCAATTATGCATTGAATCTCAACTAGGTAGGGATGGAAATGCAAAAATAGGTGTTCAAAGCTGTTTGATCGCAACTCTGCCTCCCACTCTGCCAACTCAGCCCCAAATGCTGCATTTGAAGAGTTGTTCTTTTCCACTCTCTTACTTCAGCCCTAAGAATGGCTTTAAGAACACCATTCGCCTTCCAGGAACTCAACTTCCAGATGAATCCAAGGCAAATTAGATCAATTTTATCCTGAGTTTCCACTAGACTCTTGAAACTCAAGAAAAAATTTTCATGTACCGATGAATTGTTCCGTATATATTCGAGATATCGATATATGCATCTGTTTGTTGGGCCTTGCCTTTTATAGTGTCTGAAACATAGAAACATTGTGGCCGCGCAGTGCTGCCACCAACCAACATGGCTGCCTTCAATCAACCCTCATCTGACACTTAGATTGCGAGGGCAACCGAAGAGGGAGAATATCGGTGAACAGAGAATATATTTTGAATAGGAACTTTTGACTCCTGAGATCTTTACTAGGAAGTCTTGGTAAATAGATGATCTGATGAAGCTTGGAATCTCTGAACTCCTACGCATTCAAGGAATACTTCAGAAAGGTGCAAAAGCCAGGGAACTCGTCGAGGGTGTCAATTACCACCACAAAGGTGAAGGCACCAAATGAAATGGTAATGGTGTGGCCATCGCATAGTGGAGTCTCACAAAGGATGTCTCGGACATGAACCGGATCATGACTGTCAGGATTCACACGAAAGAGGGGTAGTTTCAATAATATCCGTGAACGCTCAACAAGCCGGCTGCCCCAGTACGAACAAGTAGATCCTATCTGAGCCTTGAAGATGCCATCAGATCAGTTCTAGAAGGCACTATCTCGCTAAAGCGGATGATTTGAATGGCCATGCTGGCAGTGAACGGAAGGGCCTAGAAGGGGTTCACGGGGGTAAAGGAATAGGAGCCAGAAACGGAGAAATAGAGCGTCGAAGCCCACGATCTACCAGTCTGTAGCTTTCCGCGAAAAGGGTGATTCAGAAGGTAACCTACAGCAGGGAAGGGAGACAAACGGGAGCACTTGAAAGGAGATCGACCCTCGAAACTGTAAAGGGCATAAAAGTATTGTTGGGCGAAAATCTGGCTTTACAGCCAGGACTTTTTCAAGTAAGAAGAGCCATCGGGAGAAATCAAGGACGAAAACGGAGTGGAGGATTTGGTGGAGGAAGTTGCACCGGGTCGAAAAGAAGACTTCGCACGGTCTCTCAGAACATTCCTCGCTGGTCGCACTAATCCCGGAAGACCAAGCCAACAGACCTGGAGCGACACCGCGAAAGGTGTCCAACGGTAAGCGAGGAATGTTCTGAGAGACCTGAGGTGGAAACTGAAGAGAGAGGGAAGCGTGGTTCGAGAACGATGAAGTCTAGCAAAATGTCAGGCAAAAGAAGACCGCCTACAAGCGCTGGAAGGAGGCGGGAGGGGCCTAAGGCTAAGCTGCTCACAGAAAGCGCGCGTTGCTAGAGGCTCGCCGAGGCCGCCGTAGCGAAGGCACGGAGCACGTAAGTGAACGCCTTGTCCAAGAAGCTCGGTAGTCGCTGAGGAGAGAAGATCGTCTTCAATATACGTCTTTGGTAGATAGGCATTCTTTTTCTCAGTCACACGCATAGTTCTACGTAAGACGAATGAATAACGAATGAGTGATCGAACTTTAATAATTCGTGGTGAAAAGATTCCATCGCGAAACGTCAGCGGTATTGTTTTTGTCGTGCACTCGTCTGTCGTCCATCTCATCGCTTCCCACGAGATCCAGCCTTCTCGCTTGACCATCCTACCCTATGCTACTTTGCCATACTGCGTACCCGAAGACCATCTCTTTCGCCAACTGCCATTCCCACTCTCTACAGATGACGAAGTAGAGCGCGATGCGTTTCACGACCAAACGAAGGAGATCATCCGCAACGAAAAGCCTTTTTACAATTCGATGTTGGAGATTTCAACAAGTGGAACTCAGTACAGAAAAAAGGGGAACGGGGGATAGGAACGGGAACTAGCTGAACTTCTGACCGTCCACGGCTCGACTCTTCCGTGGCACCTTTCTTCTAGAAGAAGGGACATCGCAGATAGACATGAGTGTTTCCAAACGGTTCAACCAAGCTTGAACTAGACCACATA